ATTGGAAGAAGAGATTATCTGATGTAGAGTTCGCAATTAATAACACTGTACATTGTGCAACTAGGCAGACTCCTAGTCAATTGTTATTTGGTATTGAACAAAAAAGGGGAAATAGTTGATGAGTTATCTGAATATTTGCATGAAGTATATTCTCAATCTGTTGATAATCTTGAAGACTTGAGAAATAGGGCGGATGCTGCTATCCAAAAATCGCAGTTACAAAACGAAAGGAATTTCGAACATAGTCATAAACCCCCGAAGGAATTTGCTGTCGGCGATCTAGTAGTTATAAAAAATGTCGATACCACGATAGGAAAAAATAAGAAGCTTATTAAAAAATATAAAGGCCCAAATGTTGTACGTAAGAAATTAGGACATGACAGGTATGTAGTTACAGATATTGAAAATTGCCAAGTCACTCAAATTCCATATGATAGCGTAATTGATTCAAGTCGAATGAAAAGGTGGTTGGAGCTGAATCAGTGTGAAGACGATATAAGAGTGGAAAGTAATACAGATGATTTAGTGTTAAGTGATTGCTGTACAGATTATGAATACCTAGATGAGTCTCAAGAATTAGATCAATCGAGGTCGATTGATAGTCAGGTTAGGCCGAGTTGTAGTGAATAATTGTAATACGTTTCATATCGTATGAAAACATGGTATTATATCAATGATGTATACGTAGGTATGTGGTTGAGATGGCAACCATGTATTATATTAATTATGTATAATGTAATATGGCAACCATACAATACATGTAATGGAAACCAACTTCCTGGTTTTGGGTACTTTTAAGAAACACCGAACAGTGTACAACGTGCCTTAAATAAAATCCAACAAAATATAGTAAATCGATATACCTAATTACTTAATTAATAATTTTTATATTAAGAAATAATTATAATAAAAGAAATTTAATTTTGTGGCACTTTCATATTCTTTTCGGCACAATTTTTGAAGACCATTAGGCACATTTTGAAATTTTGAAATTCATCCCTGCTTGTACCTCACACGAATCATGCATGCATGTGCGTACAAACACACGCAACACATTTCAGTATCGATACGAAAAACAGTTTCGTTACCGCACAATATGTTGTGTTGTATTGATTGACGTTGATGGTGCATATACGGAACATGCGAGTAACGAGATTATTATGTGAGTAACGATTCGGTACTTCGAGTCAGGGGTTGTATTCGTTACTTGCTACAGCTCTAGTACGTACTTATGTTTATTAGTATTTGAGTTATCGCATCGCTAGATGGGACTTCGGTACGACGCCATATAGGAATTAAATTACTTTAATTAAAAATTTAAATTTAAAAAATATAACTGATGCTTTTTAATAATTCAGCCAACGTAAAATATTAATTTTTTCATTACAAAAATTCATTCCATTTCTCATCCCATGTGCGTCGAAACAGACAAAGAAATTTATAATTAAATGAAAGTTTCAAAAGTATTTGACCAAATTTAAAAGTAGTTATAATTTAATACAGACAGTTTCTTGAACTAAAATGTATGATACAATAGCACCTGGACAGTTTGATCAGGTCGGACTATTTTCCTTTTGTATATGTATATCTACATATAGTGCAAAACTGAGTACATAGTGGTTTTCGTTAAATATTTGCAATGTTTTCTAACTAAAATTTTTTTTGGTATTTTTTTATTAAAGTATGGTTCATGCTTTAACAAAAGACATATGAAGTCATATAACTCCAAACATCAGTTTTTATACAGAGCTTGGAAGAATTTAGCAATTTTTCATAAATATTCTGAATTTCTAGAAAATTATTAGTTTTATAGTCTTGCAGTTTGCTGGCCCGCACTTCTTATGGTAGAAAATTTAAAGAAAGCACCGTCATATTTTATAAATTGCACTTGTATGAAAATACAAGCGAGCGTCTAGCCACAATCCGCATCAAAGCGAGATTCTTCAACATCTCGCTCATCTGCGCCCATGCCCCGACGGAAGAGAAGGATGAGGCATCCAAGGATCTCTTCTATGAGCGCTTAGAGCGCACGTACGAGCGCTGCCCCCGTCATGATATCAAAATCTTGCTTGGCGACTTCAATGCCAGGGTGGGCAAGGAAGGGATCTTTGGAACCACCGTCGGAAAATTCAGCCTCCACGACGAAACGTCCGACAACGGATTGAGGCTGATCGACTTCGCCGGGCCCGAAACATGGTAGTATGCAGTACTAGGTTCAAGCATAAAAAGATCCATCAAGCTACGTGGCTGTCTCCGGATCGAAAAACGAGAAACCAAATCGATCATATGGTGTTAGACGGAAAGCACGCTTCCAGTGTTTTAGACGTACGCACACTCCGAGGCCCAAACATCGACTCGGACCACTATCTTGTTGCAGCCAAGATACGCACCCGCCTCTGTGCAGCAAAAAATGTGCGCCCAAATATGCAAGGAAAGCTTAACGTCGAAAAGCTGCAATCACAGCAGACAGCCAGCGCTTTCGCTACTCGACTCTCACACCTGCTCTCAGAGAGTACTCTTCAACAAACCGACATATGCGAGAAGTGGAACCACATTTCCATTAAGTACCGCCGCCGAAGAAGTAGTCGGATTCCAGCGAGCCCGAAAGAACAACTGGTACGATGAGGAGTGTCAGGAAGCTGCAGAGAAAAAAGATGCCGCCTACAGGGCCACGCTGCGATCGGGCGCAACGCGCGCTCTGTGGGACCGCTATAGGGATCTGAAGAGGGAAGCGAGACGTATTTGCCGCAACAAGAAGAGGGAGACACCGAAATACGTGAGTGCGAAGAGCTTGAAATGCTGGCCGACAGGAGGAATGCCCGAAAATTTTACCAGAGAGTTAGGCGACTTACGGAAGGTTTAAAGACTGGGGCGCACTCCTGTAAGAACAATAATGGCGACCTAGTAACTGATGTCCAGAGCATACTTAAATTATGGAGGGAACACTTTTCCGCCCTACTAAATGGTAGCAGCACGGAAAGTTGTGGAGAAGAAGAACCCGAGCCCGCAGTCGATGATGACGGAGTCGACGTTCCACCGCCTGACTATGACGAGGTACGTATAGCAATAACGCGGCTGAAAATCAACAAAGCCGCTGGAGCTGACAGCCTGCCAGCTGAGCTATTCAAGTACGGCGGCGAGGAGTTGATAAGGTGCATGCATCAACTCTTGTGCAGAATATGGTCAGATGAACGCATGCCCGACGACTGGATTTTAAGTGTGCTCTGCCCAATCCACAAGAAAGGTGACCCCGCCATTCGCGCCAACTACCACGGGATCAGCCTTCTAAGCATAGGTTACAAGGTCTTATCGAGCGTATTGTGTGAAAGACTGAAGCCCACCGTCAATGAACTGATTGGGCCTTATCAGTGTGGCTTTAGACCTGGCAAATCCACCATAGACCAGGTATTCACAATACGCCAAATCTTGGAAAAGACCCTCGAGATAAGGATCGACACTTACCACCTATTTGTCGACTTTAAAGCCGCTTTTGACAGCACTAAAAGGAGTTGCCTATACGCCGCTATGTCTGAATTTGGCATCCCCTCAAAACTCATACGGCTGTGTAAAATGACGTTGAGCAATACCACCAGCTCCGTCAGAATTGGAAAAGACCTCTCCGAGCCGTTCGCCACAAAACGGGGTTTCAGACAGGGCGACTCCCTTTCATGTGACTTTCATGTGAGGTGGTGGCTGGCAGACGTCCGTTGATCCTCGAGTTCTCGACAGAAGTGCCCTTCAAATTTTTTGAGATCTTAAGTTTGACCTCCAAGCAACCAACTGTTTGGAGGGGAAACTTAACGAAGTTTTATATTTAAGC